TAGTAACAAGCCTGAGCTATCGGCTGATCATTCATAAGTAATATTAAGCTTCTGAGTGGCTATTTGGGAATTGGCAGAACAGTTCCCAGAACTGTTGGGGAGGTAGACGAAGATCCTTGATGCACATTGGTGAGACAATCAGGCCCAATCAGTGAGCTCTATGTTCATGAAAACATGTCTTTAAAAACAAGGTGAACAGCAATGGAAAAAAACACTGACATCAACCTCTGGTCTCTGTGTGCATATATGCACACTTATATGTATACACACTCACACATGTACACACAACACAATTTGGCTAGGGCTAAGAATTTTCCATCTAATTATTATGGTACTACTTAATGGATTGATGTATTTGTCAGGCTTCTCTTGAGCAACAGAACTTATAGAATGAATCTCTCTCTCTCTCTCTCTCCCTCTGTCTCTCTCTGTCTCTGTCTCTGTCTGTCTCTCTCTGTCTGTCTCTCTCTCTCTCTCTCTATATATATATATATATAAATATATATATATATAAAGGAGATTTATTATAATGACTTTCAGGCTGTGGTCTAGCTATGCAACAATGGTTGGCTATGTATGGAAAGTCCAAGAATCCAGCATTTTCTCAGAGTCTTTTTCTAGCCTAAATGATCTGGATTAGAGGTGTGTTTTTCTACCTCAAAAATCCATATTAGAAGTGAATCTTTTCCTTCAAATTAAGCAAAAGTCCCTCACAGGTATGACTTCCATTTTTTGAACTTTACTCAATTGCAGATAGAATCAAATTGACAACCAAGAATAGCTGTCACAGTTGATTATCTGAAAAATTATTTCATCTGTGTGTGTGTGTGTGTGTGTGTGTGTGTGTGTGTGTGTGTGTGTGTGGTGCTAGGGATAAAATCCAGGGCCCCATGCACACTGGACATATACTGTGCCAATGAACTATACCACTAGCCCTGATTTTTACCACTAATGTATCTACTAGAACATAATCATTCCATACAACAGTTCTTTTCAACATGATTGTTGTTAAAACTCCGACGCTAGAGAAGAAGAAAGAAGAATAGAAAGGGGTAGAGAAGGAGGAAAGGGAAGAGGAAGAAAACATAGAGGAGAAAGAGGAAGAAGAGGGAAAAGGAGGGGATGAAGAGGAGGAGGAAGAAGAAGAGATGAATAGGAAGGGGTGAGGAGAAGTGGAGGGGGATAGGTATAGGAGGAGGAGGAGAAGAGTTAAAGAAGAGGAGGAGGAACGGAGGAGGTGGAGTAAAGGAGAATACGAGGGGTGGGGGAATGATGAATCAGTCCAACTCCATTTTAAAATTAAAAGCCACCTTATTACAAGATCAAAATAAGTTCATTCTTTTTTTTTTTTTTTAACTTGGGTTTGACCATGTCTTAACCTATTTTCTGGAATTTGACATGCTCCACACTCTATACCCTAACCTCCACCCTGATAAAAAGGTTTGGCCAAATAATTTTGAAATGTTCTGTCAAGTTCCTACATAACCAAAAATCCCTTGAAAACTCCCTACCCTTGCAGTTTGGGTCCTAATCTAAACCCTACCTTCTCCTATGTTTGATGCTATTTTCTGAAACCCTGTTTGAGGGAGATAGCCCTGTCTGACATAAAATAAAGCTTGCTTATTTCAGCTAAGAGTTTGGGTTAGCAGTCTTTACTCCTGTTCGGTGGGATTAACAGAAAGGGGAGGAAGGAGAGCTTAGAACAGTCATATAAAACCTTACTGCAGCTAAGTTTTGAGCTGGGAGAAACAGGCATTACCCTAAGTTTTAGAACTAAAGTTATCTCATTTCCATGTTCTGGTTACTGTCATTAGACACTGTGTCCGTCAGAGTCCGTGACACAGTGAAGTGAGTATGGCTCATAGGAGCTTGTCTGCAGCCAGATGAACGCACCACCTTCTACTGCCGAGGATTGCCAGCACAGCAAGTGCCTTAGTGACTCCTCTGCTAATTGAATGAGTATTTTACCTGGTGAAAATTTTGGGGCTTGGAGGCACAATAATGTAATTGTACTAAAAGGAACAGACTGTTAGCCTGGGGAGGATGGTGGTTTAGAGCACTCTCAGGGTTTCTGTCGATTATACTCAGGGGTGCAAAAGAACTGATTTGCCTCACATGGATGGAGAGTCTGACACCTTGTTGCTTAAAAATTGCTTATGTTTAAAGTACACACCACAGCTAAGGGGCCATGCAGATGCCACAGTACTGAATAGCATATGGACATCTCCGGGGTTGTTAAAAATGATCACACCAGCCGTCTGTCTTTACTGAGGCTTACTGTATTTATACAGTTATAAGAGAGAAGATTCCACTTTCAATGAAGCTCAGGGGACCTATATCCAGGAGGAAAGGAAGCAGGGAGAGCACTTGTGAACTTGCAAGAGAAACTTTATGTTTCCGTAATGGCCATTTTCTTAACCATGTGGCAGTTTTGAATCTCAAAGGGGCCAAAAACATTTTAAGATAAAAAAACATTATTTTTAAAATGTATAACGTAAGTCTTTACACCCTCCAACTAAATGCAGTTTTGTGGCAAAGCTGGAGTTAGCAGATTTTGTTATTGTCATTTGAGAGTCAAAACTCAGTTGCTGATATAAATTTATTTGATTCTAAAATCTTCCCCCAACTTTGTACAAACTTCAAATCTGCTTAGGAAACAGAAGGAGCTGAAAGAGCAACTGTGCACTTCATGCAAAGGTATAGGTGATCCTCTAGTGTCTGCTTACTTCTTAGCCTGCATATTTCATAGCCACATCTTTAATTTCCCCCTCAGATCAACGTTTCCTACTGTCAAATCCAATGTTAAGGATGAAGTACATTCTCAGTATGCAAAAGCACACACACACACACACACACACACACACCATGGAACAGTTGGAGACCAAGAGTGAGCTGATTATGGTCCTGTGAGCTTTGCCCAGTGATAAGGGTGGAAGAAGTGCAGCTGTTCCTACAGGAACATATACTACAGCAGCACAGATGAGTTGGAAATATGCACAACTACAATTCGTTATTCAAGTCAAAGTCATTTCTGAGCCCTGTCTCAAGGAATAAACTATCACAGTCCTGCTACCTGGAGCTCGTAGTCTCATTTCAATGGCGATATGAATAGCAGTAAAAATGTCGCTAATGGTTAGTAGCAATATTTTGTATTGTTGATTAATGCTCAGGATACATTTTAAGATCTCCTAGCATATCAGCGATGCCTATGTGTGGTAATAAACAGTCGATTAATTCCACATTGTATATGTTTCAAAGCATTATACCATGCATGATAAACATATTCTTTTAGATTTGTAAAAGAAAAACAATGAATATACACGAATAGATTTTAAAAGCCCATCTCGAGGAATGAATGGATATAATCCATGCATTTGTCACACTAACAAAATAAATGTACTCATAAAGAAAACAAATAACAGAGATCGGTGTTTTTCATATGTTTATACCTTTAAGGTTTAGATATTTTTAGTTTTTATCTTTTGAGAATTTCATACATGAGTACTCTCTTTAAATCATTTCTCCTCCCCCCTTCTCTCTCCTCTAAATTCTCCAGTCCCTCCATTCAGTCTCAAATTCATGAAGTCTCTTACAATTATTATTGTTACATACATACACAAACACACTTATATATGTGTGGGTTTTGTGTGTATGTTGCATACAATCTACTGTGGATTTTCTTAGTAGCCTTTGCCTACTGTAAAAGCACGACTTTTTAAAATCACAAGTCAGAGCTACACTTACCTGTGAGTATAAGGGTAAGTATATAGAATGTGGTTGAAAGTTTATTGAGTTAGCAAACTATTGTTTCTCTTCTAGGGTCTATGACTTCTCCAGCCATGGGCTAGTTTTACAGTGCCAGGCATAAATTCTCTCCTATGGAGCAGTCCTTTACTCCAGTTAGGCAGCTGATGTTTGCCCCATAAGATTAGGTGCCACTATTGGAGATATCTTACCAGGCTGGTCATCATTGTGGTTTGCAGGCTTTACAGCTAAGCAGGACTACTGATTCATTGTCTCCCTCTTCAGCTTGGTCTTGAAACCACCTAGAAATGCAAATTGCTTCTATCACTGTTGAAAAGGCCATTGGCATTCCTGTTTAGCTGCCACAGAACCTATGGTTTCTGAGTAGTTCATCTTCGGAATTCAACTTTGAAAAATGGAATTTTGGTTAATAGCATGCCTACTCCATACTAGACACTGTGAACCACTTAATCCTAAGAAAATTTGAGAGAAAGCATTTTGATTTTCATCATTGTACATATTATAGAGTTTAGGGATCTTAAATATCTTGCCTTCCCAAACATCCTAATTACACAACAGAGGCATTCCCTTGCTCTGTAGCCTGTACTCTATATCATGCCTAAAGCTAAAATGTTTTATACTAAAAAGTACGTAACAACATGATAAATGGGTAAGATAAAATTATGTGATAACCGCAACCGTAGCTACATATTAATAAAGGTAATTTAATAGAATTTGTAGACTTTTATGCTCTTCATCAGTATTCTGAATTGTGAAATTATAGTCAGAGCAATTTTGAAAGTGTTACAGTGGAAAAAAACAAGCCTGAGATCATAGACAGTTTTATTGCCTATTCACCCTTGTGGGGTTTCTCTACAGTAATCCTATAGCCCACTTTGATTAACACCATAGAAACATCCATAAGAACATGTAGTTAGCTTTGAAAACACTGTAAAAATTGCCCTATCATGATACCTGGTGTCTTCTGAAGCCTGGAACTGTACCTTGTTCCAATTAAATGATACCAATCTCTACAAGGCACCCTAGTGCATCAAACAAGCCCCAAATCATGGCTGGTAAGAACAGAAGTAATTACTCAAGCCCCATCGCCCTTTGTCTTAGAGTGTTTTGTATAGGTTCTTCACATCAGAAAACATAGCTAGATATAAGAACTGACTACTTATCAGTTGCAGCTGAACTTTGGCTGACCATATCTGTTTCCCTCCCTCATTCCTGCCTACCCCATTCTTTCCTAGTTGTGGTGACTGGTGTGGCAGCAGAATGATATTGGACAGCCAAGAACTTGCTAATGGAGAAACAATTGATGACCATGGTTAGAGGCATCCATATACAATGATGCTCCTTGGGTTCATGTTCCATGCTCTTTGTTCTACTTTTGACAAATTACTTCAAATCTCTGTGCTCCACTAAACAAGCAGTCTCCACAGTTCATCATAAGAATTTAATGGGTGAATTCATGCAAAACACACACACACACACAAAAAAATAAATCCAGTATTGGCCACTCTACATGCTGTATGTGAGTGCTAGTATCACTATGTTACTTCTATTAGGTGCAAAAATATTAATATTAAGTGTATAATTTTTAAGTTATATTTTGTTAGCAGTTAATGAAATCAGGCAATTCTTAACTTGCATAAAAAATAAACATCAAATATCGAAGTAAAATGTAATAAATCACAATAGAACTCAATGCATTTTGTATAGGAAAAATATGACTTGATAGTGTGAATTATGTATTTTTCCTAGTTATATCTGAAATGTAAATCTGTCTCAATAACAGTCATCACCTGAAGTAATTGAACTTGTCTTGCTTACTATTATGTGGGAAGCATCATAGAAATCTAACATCTGTGTCGCAAATAATTTTTAACCTCTTTTGGCATCTGAATGTCATACATTTAACTCATGGTCAATGTTCTAAGCTCTACCCTATGATCTGGAAAAATGATGACAAGAACACATGACATGGCACTTGTCCTAATGAACTTTATGCTCCATCAAGACAGTTACACTAGCCACCAATGACGAAATATATCATTCTAATTTCTTACAAATACTTAAACCCTCCCATCTAAGGATAACTTATAAAGGAAAAAAAAATCACCAAAACCTAGGAGTAAAATGCCTATACTTCAAAATCTACAAAATGCTAGACATACTTTTTCTAGTGCCATTACTGTTGATGAAGATTCAAAGAAGAGCAAAACTGCTGTACAATACTTTTTTCTACTGAAATGTCCATTTGTAAGTTTTTATTATATGTCTAGATTTTGTTTTATGTATAGGAATGTTTTGCCTATGTAAACACAAATGTACTACTTTCATTCAGTGCCCACAGAGGCCAGAAAGGGATAGTGGATCCCTTCAAATTGGAGTTATGGATGCTTGTGAGATACCATATGAATGCTAAGAACTGGACCTAGCTCTTCAGAAAAATCAGCCAGAACTCTTAACTGCTAAGCTATCTCTCCCTCTCCCCTGAAATTTCTGTTTTTAAACCATTATTTTTAATCATCTTATAGTCATCAAATCACTTAAGTCCAGAAGGTCCTTATAAATAACTTTTATAAAATATTTAATAAATTTCATTTAAAATTTTATTAATTTATTTTTATTTTATGTGTGTGGGTATTTTGCCTTCATGCATATTTATTCACCACATGCATACCCTGTACCAGTAGAAGCCAGAAGAGAGCATTGGATTCCCAGAATTGGAGTTCAGATGGCTGTGAGCTACATGTGGGTACTGGGAATTGAACCTGAGTTCTCTGGAAAAGCAGCCAGTACCCTCAATTTCTGAGTCATCTCCCTAGACCCTATTTTGTAATTTTAATAAAATAAGTTTATATTTCTTGAGATAGCATATGCATTTAATATAATTTTAGCTAAACTCATAGTATTTTATCTGAAATTATATGGAATGATCTTAAACTACACACACATGCATACACACACACACACACACCAAATTAAAACAAAAAACCATGAAAAAGAATATTTTTGAGTTCCTTATCTAAGCATTGGCATTGTTTTCTAAATAGCATAGAATTTAATAAATAAAATAGACTAGCCCTTTTCACACATAGAATGATATTGTGAAAAAAAAAAGTCATACATACACAGTTACATTTATAAAACCCAAGTCTCTGGAGATATAATTCATAAAAATATAAAAGACTAAATACACAATCTATGTTTTTTTAAATTCTATCAAAATAACATTGAAAAACAGGGTATAAAATACAGTATAAATATTATTTGTTTAGATAAATATAATTGAACCTTCTTAATAACAGAAGTAAAATTGGCAGCAGAAAAATAATAGTTTGGAAATGTTACTGTAATTAAGGTGAAGTAGATGGAGTAAATTTCTGTATGCAAAGAATGATTTTGAACAGATAATAGAAAAGATGTCCCCATGGGCACAGCAAAAAGATCATTCACAGGAGACATAACGGCTGGAAGTCCATGAGAAATGGCTCCAGTCCAAGAGCAGAAAAACAAACTAAAGAACAAAGTCTCTATCTCACAATAGGCAGACACATTTGCTAAGACATACCACCTTTTTGCTGATGTGTTTGTAGTTATAAACGGTACTAATACACATCACTAGTGGAAATGTGTAGTATCAAAACCTTTTAGGCATGCAATCTATCAGCTTCTATTAAAATCCAAATTGTGCATAACTTTAGTAATTCCATCTTGTAGAATATTTCAAGTCATTCCTCTATACAATGGTACCATACCAAAATACTTAAAGCAAGATTTTCAAAGTGAACAAAAATTGCAAACAAAATCACTACCCATTAATAAGGGAAGTGATAAATAGATTATAGTTAGTTTATTCTTTATCTTTAAATATACAATAATTTAAAAATGCAAATTAGTACAATGCCAATGACTTAGGGTCTTACAGACGTTTCTGTGAGGCAACTCTAGGTAAGAAAAGTTCAGGGAACATTTTTTTGGTAAAATGGTGACATACATATATATATGTATATATATATACATATATATATATATGTATGTCACCATTTTACCAAATATATATATATATATATATACACATGTTGGAAAGAGCATGCTTGCACATACTGTATACATATATCTATAAAAGTTTACATAAATATTAAAAATAGAATCAGTAGTACTATATCTAATATATTTTTGTTCTCCTTTTATGCTAATTTTTAAATGTACTATCTCTCTGTATATGTGTGTAGGGGGGTATGTGGAATCAGTAGACAACTTGTGGGATCTGCAAAAAAGAATTCTTTTCACTTTCACTCTGGGGCCCAAAAATTGAACTCAGTTCTTCAGGCTAGACAGCAAGCACCTCTATTCACCAAGACATCTCACCAGCGCTAGGCTTGAAATATATTGTGGAAAGCCAAGAATGAGAGGCAAGATGATAAAGAGATGTAAAAAGTGAGTAACACATTAAATCAATATAAAACAGCCAGAAACCTCCATTGTAAAAAATCATACCATGTGGTCTTACCTATAAAGATGTGCATGACAGCCAGAACAAAGATGATGCAATGAATAGACGCTTATTACTTAAATGTTACAGAAAATGTCGTAAGATTAGAAAACAGGAAAGGAAAATGAAAAATAGTTTTGTGGATGCCGGTATCTTATACTGAACATTAGATAAAAAAATGTATAAGCAAAAATTAAGATTCCTTGTGCCTTATAAACACCATGAAGTGACTTTCTCTATTAGAATTTTTGCTATGGAGCAGATTTTCAGTGTCACCTCACTTTCATTCTAGAACTTTCATTGATGTCATGTCATCGCACTTTCTTACCTTTGTCTAAAAATAAGCTATATATTATATTTTATATCTACATAGCATGTATATAGCATTTATCATCTCTATCTTTGTATGTTTAACGTCTATCACCTATCTGTGTGCATGTGTGTGACTATTAAAACAAATGCATCTCTGATATTTTTAAATTCTCACAATAAAATTCTCAGGCCCAGATACATGTGATACTCCATTTGCTACACCATCTTTGGTAGAGTGAAAAGCCTTGCTTTAAAGAAGCTTAGTGCCTACTAACAGTTGCTTTTATCACATGTCCAGTGCATTCTGCATTAGTCTTATTTCTGCTACTGAAACCCGTACCTAGGATGATCAACTTATAAAGAGGAAAAGTTTAATTTTGGCTGATGAAGTTTCAGTCTATGGTAGACTGGTCACTTTGTATTGAACCTGTAGTGAAGGATCATACCATGGTGTGGACTGAGCGTGTGATAAACTACTAACCTGGTGGTGTCCAGTCAACAAAAGAGAAAAGGAGGGACCAGGGTGCTAAGCTCCTCTAAGGGCCCATGTATAATCACCTAACTTCCTTGTATTATGCCCCACCTCCCAATGTTTCCACCACTTCACTCTAGCATCCCTTAACACATGGACCTCTGGGGCCAAACTACTGAACATTCTAATAGCATGTAAAAGATGCCATTCATAGCCAATTTGTTTGAACTAACACTGAATTAAATCTTTTAAAAAGTATGAAAAAGCTACTTAGAGAAATTATCTTTGCTTCAACTAATATTTTTCCTCCACAAATTTATTGTGACAATAGAACCCAGTGGTTCATTGTGCTCCTGCTCTGCCAAAGGAGCTAATAGTTCACTGTCAAGCTATGCAACATCTTGACACTAGATTTACTACAGTTTTATGCAACACAAAACAGGACCATAAATGACCACTTATTCCTGACAAATACATATGACAATCATTTGAGAAACAGCTTTACCCAATTTTCTAAAAAATGTTTCTTCTTTTATGATCACATTTTGACAAAGAATGCATATTGTTTCTCACTTAATAAAACCAATACTCTATCTTTGTAGCAAAAATTATGTGAAAGAATTTAGATTACTGAGAATCAGTTAAGAAATAGAAAACCAGTCCAATATTTCAAAAGACCAAACTCTTTTCTCATTTGAAGACATCCATGATTCACATAATATGTACACATACATGAAAATTAGGCAGTTACTAAAGGAAACTCAAGAAAACCAGGAAGTTGGATAAATGTATGTTAAAGATGTTTTAAAACCTTCAAAAGAAAAAGTTAGAATATTTATGAGAAACACAAAATTTACCCCAGCACAAACTTAAAATACATGATTAACATTTTAAAGGAAGTTTATATAAAAATAAGTTGACTTTTTAGTGTGTTCCACAAAAAAAAAAAAAAAAAAGACATAGAGGACAGAGTTCAGAGTCCAAATTAGTTATTTTCTTTCGACAGATGGAACACCTGAGGCAGTTAGACTCCATTTACTCTGCAAGATGGTGCCCATCAAAGAGGAATGCTGGTTCTGCAAAGGGCAGGTTACCACCTGTCTGTCCCCCACAGCACTGGGGGCACCTCAGGCAGTGCATGCATGGATTTAGAGCAAGTTCTTATGTTTTGGACTAAACACCAAGTACCCAGCTGACACTG